CAGCGGGAAGCCGGGCCTCACGGGCGCCCCGATTGGCTCCTTTCAGGGGTGCCAGGTCTCTGCCTGTGAAGGTCGTGGTGAGAAGGGGGAACGAGCTGAGCAGGGAAGTGGAGGGCAGCTGAGTGGTTAAAAAAGGGGAAGCCGGAAGGAGAGTGAGGGCTAGTGGTTAGAGACAATGCACTGCTGAGTCTGGCACTCACTCCTCCCTTGGGGAAACCACATCCTGCCAACTCCACTCGGACCCGCACAGCGCAGGCCCCTACGCCCCTCCTGCCGGCATCCTGCCTGCCCCCTGCACGTGCAGAGAGCCGGGGGCAGCCAGTGCTGCCTGTGTCCATCCCCCACAGTGTGTGCTCAGCACCGCCTCATTCACATCCCTGTTCCGGTTTTACCGTTGCCCATTTGACGGGGGGTGACACTGGCCAGGATGTGAGCAGCTGTGTCCCTCCCGCCCCCTGCGATGCTGTAGCACCGGCAAACTCTTCCCCCTCCGCCCTCTGCCCACTCGCAGCGCCCTGCGCCACCCCAGCCCTGTGGCCCCCCCACGCCGGGCTGGAGGAAACTGACCCACGGCTCAGGGCACAAGCTAAACAAACCACAAAGGAAACTATTGGTCTCCTCACAAGCTGCAGTACAGGGCCCAACTGCATCTCCTACAGCCTGGAGCCTCCTTCCCCTGCGCCTCGGCTCTCTGGTGTCTCTTGGAAGAATGCGAGAGCTAAAACGGATCCACTGTCTCATTTTCCCACCATTCTCCTCCTTGACCAGCACCACTTCCCCCCAGCTGGGGAGCAGCTGACAAGCAGCCTGGGAAGGCAGTGGGATTTGAGCTTTCACTGAGGAAATGTACATTTCCCATCAATACCCTTCCTCTGCCACTTCTGCCCTGCTGGACAACGGCTCCGTAACACAGGGCTGGGCCCCATGTGCCTTTGTCTCTGAGAAAATTGTGTGTAGGTGTTACCCAGAATTACAGCAACAGCCATCCCGTAGACTCTTCAATCTCCATAAAGGGTTGCTCCCTGTATTTCACCAAGACCATAATGTTCAGCGGGTTTATGGTACCCCACAGGGCTCACGCTGTCCTAGCGTTATCACAGTTTTATGATCATGGATGAACACAGACGGGGCAGGTTGTCACTCGGGCAGCCCACACACTGTGCCGCATGTCAGTGTGCCCCACTTGTGCCCCACAGTCACACCCCAGCCCGCTAGCCCCCCACCTGAGTGTGAAGTTCAGATCGCTGTGTCTGGGACTTTCTTATCTGTGTTTCCAGAGCCTTCCCCTGGCTTTTCGTTGACTCTTTATCTCACGTCAGGGAACGTTCACTTTGGGTTTATTATTCGCCCTCCCTCTTTGCTCGCAGCCACTGGAGTGTTACTGGTGCTGACAGATCTTGTCACCATCATGTGCAGGGCTCCGACAGCGTCACTCTAAGTGGAAATGCTCATGGGGCAGGAAATGGTGAGTGAATCACCCAAGGCTGCAGTAGAAATGTGCAAGGCGCCCGCCTGCTCTTGGAGTGGGTCCAGCGGGTCTGTCTTCGGCCAACTCCAAGAGGAAGTTCAGAGCAGGGCACGTGCCGGAGTCTGTAAGAGGGGAACAGAAGCTGTAGATGAGTCTACAGGGGGTCTTTGCAGCCAAGAAGGCTAGTGGCATATTACGGTGCATTAGTAGAAACATGGCCAGCAGACTAGAGAAGCAATTATTCCCCTTTGTTCGGCAGTGGGGACGCCACATCTGGAGTATTGCATCCAGTTTGGGCCTCCCACTATTGAAAGGATGTGGACGCATTGGAGAGGGTCCAGCGGAGAGCGACCAAAACGATTATGGGGCTGGAGCACATGACTTACGAGGGGAGGCTGAGGGATTTGGGCTTGTTTAATCTGCAGAAGAGAAGAGCGAGGGGGGATTTGGGAGCAGCCTTGAAATTCCTGAAGGGAGATTCCAAAGATGTTGGAGAGAGGCTGTTCTCAATGGTGTAGGTGGCAGAACAAGGAGCAATGGTCCCAAGTTGTGGCAGGAAAAGTCTAGGTTGGATATTAGGACAAACTATTTCCCTAGGTGGGTGGGGAAGCACTGGGGGGGTTCCCAAGGGATCCCTAGGGAGGGTGTGGATTCTCCATCCCTAGGGGTGTTTAAGTCCTGGCTGGACGAAGCCCTGGCTGGGATGATTGAGTTGGGGTTGGTCCTGCTTTGGGCAGGGTGGTGGACTTGACTCTTGAGGTCTCTGCCTGCCCTGGGATTCTCTGATTCTCAGAGCGGGACGGGAGCAGAGAACGCAAGGGAGGAAATGTTCGGCCCTGCACAGAAGACGTGAACCAGGAGGCACCTGCTGAAATGAAGAGGAAGCAAGTTCAGTGTGAACTTGAGGAGGTGCTTTTTCAGGCACATCCAGCCAGCCAGCCTGACTGTTAACCTGAAGAACTCCCTGCTGGGGGTTTGGAGACTGAGCTGTGCTGGCTTTAAACAGAATGACAAGTCCCCAGAGGATCATTCCAGCAGCTGCAGGTGGCCAACATGGATGGGTGCCTGGGAGAACCCATAAGCGCTGGCTGCCGGGAGCCTGGAGAGGAGGACAGGGTGAAGCGCTGCACAGTTTCTCTAGTCTGGGCACTGCTGTGGAGTTGCCAGGGCAGCTGGGTTTGTAATAAACCATCCTCCCAACCCAGTGACATCCCCACCCTGGCTCTCTGTAGTGAATCCTCCCTCCAAGGGTTAACTCCTCCCCATGCTAGGCGCAGACAGAGCCTCTTGTTCTGGGATGGCCCCATGGGAGCACCCAAGGGATGGGGGGAAGGTTCCATTTTAACCCCACCTCAACTGCCCCAGGCTGCCCCACTGGCCGGTCCAATTCCACAGCCAATGCTCCCCCCGAGGGGAGAGACCCCATGTCCCAATCTCTGCCCCATCAAGCCAGACATTTCCCTTCCCTGGGCTAGATCAGAACTGGTACTGATGAGAGGGGAATAGGCCCTGTACCTCATTCCCCTGTCCCTCAGTAGACTGGCATGGAATTTAACTATAACAGCCACCCTGCAGCAGTGAGTTCCGTGGGTTCACACTGATAAATCTGCTAATACCAAGAAGCAGAGAATCCCAGGGCTAACCCCACTAATTCCCACAGGCAGGGAGGAGTGCAGACAAGCCTTATTGATACCCCATGACAGGAAATCTTGTTACTAGCCTGTGGCAGAGAGTTCCAGGGGTAACCATGCTACCACCCAATGGCACGGAGTCCCACAGTTTCACCCCAATATTATAATAAAATCAAACCACTGTGAACACACTGAAAGTCCAAAAATAGGTACCTGTATTTTGAAAAACTTACAGCAAAATCTACCACCAGTTTTGCACAAAGCAGCAGGGATGGAGCTCAAGATTTAGAAAGGAAGAGTGGGTAAAATATCGCCCCTTTAAGTGCTGCAGCAGTGATTAGGTAACTAATACCCAGCGGCAAGGAGTCCCAGGGGTTAACACTTAAATCTGGCAATAAATTGCACTTCATAACAGGTATGATCAGTTCTTTCATAAACCAGTTTTTCAAGTCACCCCCTTTACCCTTGCCCTGGGTATTAGTGGGACAGCTGGGGGAATAGCCCCACATAACACCTTTCCAGGCCCTAAGATTTTCCCCTTCCAGGATATTTGGGAGATTTTTTTAACTCAGGAAATTAGAGAAGGTAGAACAATCCTCTCTTCTTAGCATTCCCCTCACTATAACACAACACATCTCTATAACACAACAGAACACAACACATCTCTATAACACATCGTGTTGCTCTCAGTAACTCTATATCTTAACTCAGTTGCTGACATGTGTTGGTTCTAGGCGTATCCCACTGCCCCCACCATGTTGCCACCAGCCATCCCACCGCTCACCCCCACAGCTCTAGCTCCTATTACCCCTAGCAAGACAAGCATGTGTTTAAGTAGAAGAGAGATTTAGAAGCACTGTCAGCTCTTCCCCTCCCGCTCTAGGGTTAGACATTGGAGTAGACGATTTCCTGGTCAGACAGCAAGTGTGGCTTCAAATAGTCCATGTTCTCATAAACTTCATCTCCTCCTGCTGCTAAATTCTCACAGTTTTTCTCTTGCTCTATGGCCTCGTAGTCGGCAGTGTCCAGCACCTGAGGCTGCAAAGAGGAAGGGTTGACTCACATGGTGACTGAGGTGCAGCCACATGTGGGGTGGGACAGCTGGGGGAAGAGCCCCACACAACACCACATAGGGATAGCTCACATGCTACCGTAATGGTGGCCGGGGCAGGAAAGGAAGAGTAATGCATCTATGGCAACCAAGTGGTTTTTAGGAAGGCAAATGTAATTAACGATCTGGGATCCTGGCCAGGACAATGGGATCCACGACCCCGCAGCTCTGACAAACCAGGGAGACGTCTGGTTACCAGGAGCACTTGAATGCCTTGGCCTGTACCTCAATGATGACAATCTGCAGAACAGCGCCCCCTAGTGCTCTGCGGGGGTATTGGGGCCAGCTCTGCCTGCCAGGAGAGAGCCCCCACCCATCCAGGGAACAAGCAGGTCCCTCCCGGCTTAGCCCTGAGGGTGACAGGGGAAGTATTCGGCCCTGGTGTCCCTCACCTCTCCACCTGTTCTGGGCTTGTACAGGTTGCACTGCTCCTCTTTCTTCACCTTTGTGGGCTTCCCCCCTTTGGGGGATGGCTGCTGCTCCCCGTTGCCTCCATTATTGTGTCTTGAGGGACCCTCCTTTCCGTCTTTCCTGCAGGAGGGAACGGCTTTACCTCGGTTCCCACAGCCTTGGAGCTGTCGAGGAGCCCCCCCCGCACCAGCCAGTCCCAGAGGTTAACACAACCAATACCCAATGGCAGGGAGTCCCATGGGCTAACTGTTGTACCATTTAGCAAAAGGGGTCCTCTGGGTTAACACTGATAATATCTAGTGGCAAGGAGTCTCACAGGTTAACCCTGCTAATCCCCAGTGGCAGGAAGTCTCATGGGCTAGTTCTTTCTTAGAGGAACCTCATACTACAGAAAAGCAGCCAGATTCTATCCAATCCCCACGCAGTGACCCACTTTCCATGGGTTTCTCCCTGTGTCCGTGGGATGGATGGGAGGAGAGCTGGTCTTTTCTGAACATCCAGCATTCCGTAACCAAAGGGTTAAATGCGAGTATCTAGGAGGTGTTGTCAGGGAGCCAGGAGAGCTAATGGGGGAAGGTGTAGAGATCTGAAATGAAAAAAATCCTGTTTGATTTTTCTTCGTGGGCGAGTTTTAAGCCAGGACCTGGGAAAACAAGATGAATGGAACCAGGAAGAACTACCATGTCTGCAAGGAATATTGGACATGCAAATGGACTGGACCTTAAAGCATGGATATGTGAGTAGATAGGGAATGCCTAGTTCGATGCGCTCCGGTTATTTTCTTTGCTTTCAAGTTCCCGAGTGTTTTACTTCTAGATTCAAGAAGAAAGGGTTGTTGGGTTTTTTTCCCCTTGGGTGGAGGCAACTAGCTGTCAAGGCCTGGGAACCTGTGACTGTGGGAAGTTTTTAAAACAGAAGTCGATAGAGGGAAAGTATTTGAAGGTTTCTTGCAGGCTGTCACATTATTGGATTTTAAAGGAAGCAGACAGATCACTGCTTCCCCATGGAGAGGGGGGCGGTGTTTGCCCCAAATTCTGTGCAAAGTAGCCATGTGAGGTGTCAAACGAAAGCTTTTAATCTACAGATTCTGGGTATGCTTCTCATGTGCTTCTATGCTGTTTGTATGTGAAGCTCTGTTCTTGTATTGTGAATGTTCTCTGTCTGGGAGCAAGCAACAGGCCTGGACCGCCTATTGGGAGGAAGGATTGTTCATTAAATGGCTATGCTAATTAGCACTGCTGGCCAGTACTGCATGGCTACTGGCATGTGAAACACAGATAGGTCACTTGGGGCTCGTCTAGACTAGCCCAAAGTTCCAAAAGAGGATGTGCAAATTCTGCAGCATGAGTTTTTTTTGCTCTTCCT